TCCCCCTTTGGACGTGTTTTCACTCCAGAGACGCTCATCTTTAATTTCTTTATAGCTACTTTGAAATGCAGAAGGGAGTGGTGTGTGTGTGTGCGTGTGTGTGTGCGTGTGAGTGTGTGTGTGTGCGCGTGTGAGTGTGTGTGAGGGGGTGGGGTGGAGGGTGGGGGGAAAGTTGAGACCGGATCGTTCTGAGTAGTTTCTCTTTTCTCTGTGATCCATTCATTTCTCGCTCTACCTCCTGTTGCATAAAATGATGCGCTGAAGAGCGGCTTTTTCCCCCCCTTCCCGGATTTGGTTTTAGAGTGGATGTTCCCAGTTTGATCGTCTCTTTGGAAATACAATCTCGCTTTTTTTTTTTTTTTTTTTTTTGCTATTGCTGCCTATTCCATCTTAAAAACAAAACAAAACCCAACAACTCTCCCATCCCTCCCTCCTTTCTACCTTAATCCCACCCGCCCCCACATCCCCACCCCCAACCCCCCAGTCTCCAAAAATCCGATTGTGTTTTCTTCAAGGATTGGGACTGGATTTTCTGATTGCGGTTATTTCCATGTTTCTAGGTTTGTGTGATTTTGCTAAAATGCATCACCAACAGCGAATGGCTGCCTTAGGGACGGACAAAGAGCTGAGTGATTTACTGGATTTCAGTGCGGTAAGAAAGAACGGTGGAAACTAACAACAGCTGTGGAAAAAAAAAAAAAAAACAACAAAACCCCAAAACAAAAACCCCAAACACTTCAGCTAGAAACCAGTAGTACTTTAAAGGACAGGAATGATTTTTAATTGGCAGAATCCTTGGTCAATATGAAGGTCTATTTGACAAGTTTTAAACTCGTTTTGGGGTGTGATGGACGATTCAGGCTTTTTTTAGAATCGAATTACTTGCCTTGAATTCCTTACCCACCAGTTCCCCCAAATAATGGAATATCACCCCAGTGGACAGGAAAAATAGGCACCCCTAAAACTGCAAACCACCACTAAAACTTGGCCACAAATGAACACTGAGAGTACCAATACTCCATGCACTACTCCTTGTCTTATTTATTTTTTTCTAGAAATGGAAAACAGAAAATAGATCCAGTAGTGTCTTTAAAGTTTTAAACTGATGATGCTGTGGATTGGTAGGACCTGTAGTTCTCCTAGTTACCTCTTTTCCTGGGATTCTGAAAACTCCTATGTATGTGCTGAGCATACATTCTTTAGAACCCTTTGGACTATTTTTGTAAATTTCATAGTCCTGAGATCAGCACAAAGAGGAACTTACACACTTGTGGAGTTTTACTGTACTTGGTCCTTCTCCATCCCCTCTGCTTCCCTTTCCTAACCCAAGTTCCCAACATGTCAGGGGAATGAATTCGATTTTAATGCCAGATGAGTTTGGTATAAGATGCATTTGTAAAGCAAAATAAAAAGAATCCACAAAACACACAAATAAAATCCAAACCGCCTTCTAAGTGGGGCTCTTTCATGTTGCTGCTGCTGCTGCTGCTGCTGCTGCTGCTGCCGCCGCCACTGCTACCACTGCTGCTCCTCTTGTAGACCTTCTTTTGGAGAAATGGCTTTCGGAAGTTTTGCCAGGAAACGTAGCCGTAGGCAGCTTTGCAGCCCCCTTTCTGCTTGCTGCACTTTCTCCATTTGTTTCTTTGCTTTTCGCAGGCTCTTGACTCAGGGAAGGTGTGCATTATCCACTAGATACGTGGAAAAGAGGGAAACCAATTAGGGTCGAAATAAATGCTGGAGAGAGGGAGTGAAAGAGAGTGAGAGTGAGAGAGACAGAGAGAGAGAAAGAGAGAGAGAGAGAGAGAGAGAGAGAGAGAGATGCTTCAAATTGCTCTCATGTTAGAGACGAAATGAGAATTTAGTGCAGGTGGCACTTTTATTTTTATTTGGGTTCACATATGACAGGCAAATCCTGTACGGGATGGAAGTGGACATTGCCACGTTTATGGCCAAGGTTTTCAGTATAAAACAAACAACTTTTTTTTTTCTCTCCTTTGTCAAACTAGTGTTTTCTAGAAAGGTTGCTACCCTGCAACCTGAATCTTGATAACATGGGGACTGTGTGTGTTCAGAGGGTAGCAGTACTGCTTAGAAATAGTGTGCCCGAGGAAAAAGAAAGAACAGTGGTAATGAGGAGGGGATTTTGAAAGGTTGTGCCTGTTTTAGCTTTAAGTTGGCTGGTGATGTATTTTACTAAATAAACCCTTAGCATAATCTCTGAGTTATTTGGTAAGAGTATGAAAGATTTTTGATGAACTCTCAAGGCACAGTGTCTTCTTATTAACTGTAATATTTCTTTGTTTCTTTTTAGATGTTTTCACCTCCTGTGAGCAGTGGGAAAAATGGACCAACTTCTTTGGCGAGTGGACATTTTACTGGCTCAAGTATGTAAATTCTTTTCTTGGTGTGAAATTAAATGTTCCTAGCTGTTTATTTACTCATTGCATATTTTTGGCTCTGTTGAAGTGTTCTGAAAAAAGTCATTGAATTGTTGTCTATAATGATATGGTTATCTCATTATCCATCAGTAATATAACTTACACAAAATGTTATTTTTTTGCAATTAAAATTGGACCTTTTTTTTAAAGTCAAGAAAGTGGTCTTAAAATTCCGTCACTCAATTACAAGTGATTTTCTAATATAGTTCTAATCAAACACGTGAAGATAATGCCAGTGTTGACATGGGGAATACATTAATGTTCCTTATTTGAAAATAGAGGGGGAAAAAATCTAACTTTCATAAAAAGGGGAAATCCCTTGTAAATAATATCAGTTATTAGGTACTGTGTACAATTAACCCTTTTAAAGCAACGAGCACTTAATTTTGCAGATGAATGCTGCCTAGTAAACCGTAGCTGTAAATAGCCTCTTGCTAAGCTGAGAAGCTAAATATGAATTCATTTCTACTTAAAATATCTTTTTTGATGCTTTGGCTGTTTCTTTTCCCTCATCATTTACTTTTGCAAAGAATTTTTGCTATATTTAAAGTTGCAAATTTGGGAGGACTTTTAACATTTTGTAAATGAAAGATCTTTGGGTGATGCTTAAAAAAAACGATAGCGGTATTCACAAAGGAATCTGTGCACAATGATTATCTGGCATCTAAGTTGTTTTTAGTAGGGACTGTTTGAATGTCTCTTACTAAAAGTGAAGACTGAAAACATGCTATTCATATAAGATGTATTTTTTTGTTGTTCAATGAATTTTAAATAAGGAGTCATACATTGTTGCCTGCTATCCTTTAATTCCAAGGCTTAAATCCATTTATGCCTGTTAAACAGCTGCAGTATTTTAGGAGTTCTGGCAATGGTATATAACARTACATTAGGCAGAGTACTATTCTTAAGTCAGACTGGTAAATGTTGACATCTTTGAGTCTGTAAGATGCCAGTGGAGTTGTCTATCAACTATAAATATAATTTCACATCTCTTAATTTTCATCTGGTGCAATAGCAATGAAAGAAATCTGTTCACCTAGATAAATTGTGTAATTGGTATATTTTTGTGCAATAAATTGAAAGCTTTTAAAAGTTGCTCATTTTGAAATATGTTACTTCTACTGACCCCCATAAGTCTAGGGAAATTTTGTCTCTAAGTTGATTTTTATATGAGATACTTCCTATAGTTATATTTTTGGGTCCTCTTTGATTAAAAGTACTGTTGAAAATGTGTTGGTGCTTTACTCTCTTAGACCCTAATATTTTCTATCTGAGGACATATTTTTTTTTATTTGTTTGTTGCATTGCTATTTTGCATTTCTGTTTCTATATGGTGTTCTCTTTATAACTTTTAAGACAGAAAATATTAATATGAATGTTTGAAGCAAAGATGAGTACAATGAGTACAAGTGTTTAGATTGGTTTTTCATGTTAGGCACTGTCAAAACAGTAACTAACTTTATCTCTGACAGTAATTTTCTTAATGTTTTACTTAAGAAATGTGTTTTTAGCTTAAATCTGAAAGTAGATGTCAGAGAGACATAGAGATGGACTACTTTCAAATCATTGTGAAATAACTTGCTTCCACTGTTGTAAAGATGGACACATTTGGAATGACTTAAATGTATTACTTTAGATATGGTTTAATAAATGGAGGTGAATTAGAGGTATGACATGTACTAGACAACTGTGTATATGGACCATTTTATATACACATATTTAAATAAGGTCCTTGCAGTAATGTTTAAGTGTTCATAGAGAGTATGGGATAAATAAATTGAATATATATTAATGTATTTTGGTAAGTAATCACATATCAAAACTTATACAGTTCTTAAGACGATGATGTGTTTGTACATAGATATGTTTGCTTGTGTGTGTGTTTATGCATACATAAACATAAGAGAGAGATTTTGTCCTTACTGAGCCATATTACAGTATTTCTAATGACTGTGAAGTAGATATCCAATGATTATTTTCAAGGTGTTGAACTTAACTTACTTTGTTTCAGCAGTGTAGTTTTTAGGACCAGATGTTTACTTGTAAGGGTAGAAAGTTATTGACTCTTTTATTCTGCCTGTCTGATTGAAAATGCAGGGTGTTCATTCAGTGCTGCATGATGGTGAGTGTAGCATATAGGATGCAGATTGGAATGTTTATTTTCCCCATCTATGAAGACATATTGGAACACAGGGTTAGTGAAGAAGATGACTTATATTCTACTCAATAAAAGATAAATCTTTCTGAAGCATAACAAATTTTTTTAAAAGTCACAAAGCTGCACTTTGCCCTTTAACTGAAAGGATGAACTAGGAAACTTTGGACAGAGAAATAATTTTCTAAAGTTACTTCAAGTTAATATCCATTGTCCTGAGTGGACTCAGATGTCACTTTCATGAGTAGCTTTGAAACTTGGATCCAGGAACTATAAGTAAAGAGAGATCTGAACTATAAGTAAACTATACCTAGTTGAAAATCAGCTATATTTTTTTTTCAGAGTGAGGCATGGTAATATTTCAGGCTTAAAAGTTCCCAATAGCTTCTGATTCCATTAATACAGGATGCTCCATCATGATTTGCAATGTGAGAACAAAAATAATGTGTGGCCATATTCTCTTTAATCTTTCATTTCACAAACATGGTTTTTCCTACCACCTTAAGAAATGGGGAGGCTGCTAGGGAGACTGGAATGTAACCTGAGCTACAGCCTGACATTCCCAGGGAGCATTTTTCACATGAAAGGCTTTTGTCAACCCAGGAAAGGACCTGCAGTTTTTGTTTGATGTTTGCAGGTGTTCAGCAGAAAGCAGTAAAACAATTCAGCCATGATGGTCCAGAGCCTCCATGACCTTCACAGGGAGAATTGGTGGGCTCTGGAATTATTTTCACAAAATAGTTATTACCTGTATGATCATTTATACAAAGGGATTTGATATCCGTTATATCATTGATCTTAAAGCCAACAAAAAGCATCCATATGCCTGCATGATTGGAGAATTGTTCTCATTAAAAAGTAGGATGACAGAGTTACCAAAAGAAAAGAAAAAAAAAAGTTGCTGAAGTGTTCATAATTTTTGATCAGGAGAGGCTTAATTTTCTGATATAAAAACTATGTCTGCTTTATTTGGTCACATTTGAGTCCTGTGAGTACAAGATAAACATACTATCTCATTGGCATCTTTTTTAAAAGTAGTTTTAAAGTTGGGCCTAAAATTATGTATACTAAAGAACTTATTGGTCTGATGTGGTCACATGTATTTCTGACTGGTCTGTGATAGATCCTTCATCTTCCTCCCTTAGTTTAGAAGTTGATCTTTAAGCAGGCTTGTAGCTGTTTGGTTTTACTTAGGTGGTCAGCAGTTGTTAAAGCCTGCTCAACAAACTGGTGTTTGAATGATTAAGAGCAGTGGTGAAACATCTCACTCAAGAGAAAAAAAAAATTTCTTGGCATTCATATAAGTTAGCTAACTTTTATCTGCATGACAACAAAGAATGTCAATTAAGTAAATTCAGTGAGGGGAAAATAATGAGTAAATAATTTTGTCTGATAGAGAAAATTCAAGTGGTCAATATCCTTAAATCATTTCATCAGTATCAATTTGAGTTTATGGTGATAGTATGAAAAAATTGGTCTACCCTTGAGAGTATTTGTTGAGGACAGCTAGTGGCTATCCCTGTGTGTGTGTGTGTGTGTGTGTGTGTGTGTGTGTGTACCACTGAACATTTCATAGTGGTCATGTAACTTTTTGTAAAGGGCACAGCAATTTAATAGATTTGTTTTTAAAAAGTACAGTGTTATCAGACACTCATTATCATAGAGCCACAGAATTTGGGGGATGAAAACCCCCAGAAATACACTGCCCACAACCTTCAGTGTTTAGCCAAAGAAAGCTGAAGCCCAAGTTAGGGAACTTCTAGACTGTGCCATTGTTATTCTAGAAAACTATTTTTGGTTTGCTAGTTCTTTTTGGCCCTGCAAACCCTTTATTGGATATAGCATTGGCTTTACCATTGTTTTCCTGTCATTTAACCTGCATAATAGGCTAGTAGGATTTGGGTGGTGATATTTGTCCCTGTAAGTGCTTCTGTATGTGCATGTGCCCTCTGTATGCTTTTCTCAAGTTTGGAGCAGAATTTTGGATTATAGATCATTCCCTTTTGCCTGGTCTCACCTATGCCTGTTTGCAAGAGGTTGGGTAAAATAGCTCAGTGTGAGTGAGTAGTACACTGACAAAATTGAAGTGCTCCTTAATGAACCAGGTGGTGTGCTGTACACTGTGTGTGTATTGTATTTTTAATCTGCTTAAGAACCCAATAAGATGCCAGGGTCCCATGTATAGGGGAGGAAACTGAGATACAACTTGTTTCAAGGCAGCCAGTAATAAAATTAGGTTTTAACCTCAGGTGTGGCCAGCCCAAAGTCCTCAGTACTTTCCATTCATACACATGTGCACAAGTGTGTAGGCAGACACTCAAGAGCGAGCTCAGTTTTTCAAGAGCAGATAGTTATAGAGTAGAATATTGAGGCTTGGCATGAAATGCTATGGTCTTTACAGTAGAAAGCCATTTTTTAAAAAAAACTTATTAAAGGTAATGATATAAAGCAGACCCAATACTTTTCCTGTCTTACTATCCAAATAAGCTACCCTTCTAATTCATTTTTGAAGGATTTCATTGTGACTTAGAATTAATTCCTTCCTTCCTTCCTTTTTTCTTTTTGAGGTATTGGGGATGGAACCCAGGGCCTCACACATGCCTCTGGGCTCTACCACTGAGGGACAGCCCCAGCCCTTATTTTATTTTGAAACAGAGTCTCCCTAAGTTGCCCAGGCTGGCCTCAAACTTGCAGTCTAAAATCATCCTCTGTCAAACTCCTGAGCAGCTGGGATTACAGGTGTATGTCACCATGTCTGGCTGATTTAGTATACTTTTCTCATGTTATTATT